GGGAGTGAGACAAGGCTGTCTACTATCACCAATGATCTTCCTGATTGCAGTAGATTGGATAATGCGACAGACAACGGCAATGAGGGAACAGGCATAAAATGGACTGACACAAAAGACTTGGAGGATCTGGATTTCGCCGATGATATATGTCTGATTTCCGACAAACTGGAAGATATGCAAGTGAAAAGCAACAAGTTGGCAGAAGAAGCATCAAAGATAGGACTTCAGGTGAACATAGATAAAACAGAGGTGATGAAGATTCCTGGCCAACACCGACAGCAGCAACAACAACAGACAACAATCAGCCAGGATAAATGGGAGGAACCTGAAAGAAACAACCTCCTTCCACCTACCTGGGAAGCATCGTTTCAACTACAGGCGGAACTGACGACGATATCACAGCGAGAATTGGGAAAGCAAGACAAGCTTTCATTACTCTCAAGTCTGTGTGGAGGTCAACAGCACTCCACAGCATCAAAAATAAGATCCGGATTTCCAACTCCAATGTGAAGTCAGTCAGTGCTACTATACGGATCAGAGACTTGGCGCGTCATAAAGAGCATCTCAAATAAACTGCACACCTTCATTAACAGTTTTCTTCGCTCAATACTCAAGATCAGATGGCCAGAAAAGATCAGGAACAAAGATCTCTGGGAAAAACCAACCAACCAGGAACCGATTGTGAAACAAATAGGCAGGAAGAAATGGAGATGGATTGGACATACTCTGAGGAAACAAACCATCAAGTGACATCACACGACAGGCCATCTCTCGAGTGGAACCCGAAAGGGTGGCGGCGAGTTGGCCGTCAGTGCGAGGGTGACTTGGAGGAGGTCATGTGAAGAGGAGATGAAAGCATGCGGGAGGCTTGGAGCCAGATGAAAACTGTAGTAGAGAGCTGAAAGCAGTGGAGACGTGCAGCTGAAGCCCTATGTTCCTCTAGGAATTAAAGGATATAATAATAGTATAGTAATTGTTCTCTTGGGTTCCTAGTGGAACATATAGCTTCAACTGCAATGTCTCCATTAGCTTCTGTCTTCCTTCTGCTGTACTTTTCACCTGCAGCCATCTTAGTCCATACTGTTTCAACTCCTCTTCACACGATCGCCTCCATGTCACCCTTGCACTGACGTCCCACTCGCCGCTTCCCTCTCGGCCTATTTCCACTCCAGCGATGGCCTGATGCGCGCACGACGTCGCCCAGTGGCCTCCTCAGCCAGTGTCCAGTTCAATGCCACTTTCTCCTGCATATTTGCTGGTTGGCTATTGGTTCTTGTTTTGTTTGTTCATCGCCATAGTTTCTTGTTGGTGATTCTTTCCGGTCCGGCCATCGGATTGATCTTCAATATAGAGCCAGCGAAGACAGTTGTTGGTTGATAAAGGTCTACAATAGCCTATTGGAAATATTCTTTGTGACCCGCCAGCCAAGTTTCTGACCCGTATAGAAGAGCTGACTTGACGTTTGTATTGAGAATCCGACTGAACTTTTTTGTTGATGCTGGCTGAGTGACGAAGATTTCCAGAAGATTGGTTGTTTCAGGTTGATGAGTGAATGTGTTTCTCGCTCGCCTTCCCGATTCTCGCTCGTTTTGACATCCTCGTCCGTTCCTCCGTTCCTGTAGTTGAGACAATGCTCAATGCTAGATAATGAAGTGAATGAAGTAACCTCTTTCAAATCCCTCCCATCGGTGGTGATTAGCGCTGCATGTTCCAGTTCTTGTCTATGTCCACCTGGATTCATGGTGCCATTTATGCGACAGGAATATTTAAGGAATTATTATTGTTAACAGCATTAATGTTATTATAAATTACACTGAATGAATAGTTAGTGTCAATAGATTCCATTTCAAAAGCATCAGGATGACAGAGGTAATATGCATTAATATAACACCAGACTGATTGAATATCAGATAAATCAAGCGAAGTAACACACCGAATTTATGAATTTATAGGTTTGACAGAAGGCCAGGTTAGCAATAGTGGGTAGAGCTGTTTCTTTTTACAAGGAAAGCTCCCTCCAATTGATTTAAGCGAATCGCAATAACCTCTGCTGCTTGGAGTGTTCGGTATCTACAGACAAATGATGCGGCAAAGTTAAACTTTAAGCAACACTAACTACCAATCAGAGAATGACTTTGAAAGTATCAATCACATGAAAGAGGCATTTTTGGTTATGAATATATATATATATATATATATGAGAAAAATGCATAAAAACTGCATAAAACTTTTATATGGTGTACCTTTCTCTCGCATATGATAAGACATCTCCCATTTCAGCATAGGAGTACATATATTCATCCAAATAACTATAAATGACATCCTACTGAGATTCAATAATAGCCCTTATCCCGTTTTTTAACCTACCGCAAAGGTCTTCTATATAACTGATGTATGTCTCTTTGAGTGGGATCCACAAAATCATTAGAATGGATGACTTTGGGGTGAATAACTGCAAGGGACGATAGGGAGTTTTAACCTCTCTACTCATTGGTGTGTATTATAGATGTCTGTTTCACAAGTCGAGCAATAAGAGACATTAAAGTAGTTGACTTTCTGTCTGCTATCCTATCAACGAATCCTTTTTATACAGAGGTGTCATATGAGCCAATCACCCAAACATTATTTTCTCGTTCAAGACCACAGTTGTATATTTTCTTCAATAGGACAGTTTCATCCACGTGAACGACGACACTTTCTCCGCCTAAGAACGAATTGATTCTTTCCATTTTCCATGAGGCGATGTCTCTACAATGTTGGTGCCACTGAACCATTGACACGAGGCTATTTTCACTTTCAAAAGCTACGTCTCTCACGGGCTGTTATAAAACCCAGTAGTTACAAATATGTGTGTTGGTGGCACAGCGGTTAGGACGCCCGCCGACTATGCGCACGGTCCGGAGTTCAATCCCCGGCCTAGCACTCCTTCACCTCGTTAAGCCAGAAATAATTCTGGTAAAGAGGAAAGGTTGGGTATGAGGCTAGCAAACCCATCCTGTAAAATTTAACACTGCTACAGAAACTTCAAGCCTCTATCTTGAAGCACTGTGTTCCACTGGGAACGTGAAGGAATAAAAACAATTACAAATATACAAAATCTGGGTTAAGGGCGAGTGGTTCCTGGCAGGAAATGATCCTGCGAAATATCTGAATCGTCAGATAACCTTTCCTGACACTGACTCGTCCGAAACAAATTGCAAAACTGTGCACATATCCATCAATCGACCTGCTGAAGCTTTTTATACTGTTACACCTACACAAGAACAGATCCTTTCTTTCCTAATCAACCCCATATCCAGGCAATACTGGAAAACGTTATCTTCACCGAATTGCAAGCGCAACTGCCTTAGAGCAGGCATTTGACTCGAATCAAGCGGAATAGAACCTTCAACTCACGTGGATGAAACTCATTGGACCATTTGAAGTCACTCGCTGATTGGCAGTTAGTGGTGCTTGAAGTTTAACTTGGCCACTTCTTGATATGTTGTATACTTAGATAGTAAAAACATGAAAAAACACAAATCCACTTACCTTTATTTCACTGCAGAGTTGGACAATGTACGGTGTTTAAATTAATCAATATTTTCAGAACAGAAATTGATACATGCGTAGAACAAGGATTCTAACTAATACCAGTAGACTGACATTATTTTTTTTCCTTATGAAAGTTGGTTTCCAACGATTTGACTGAATTAAAGACTGATAGCGACCTGGATTCCGTTAGAGAACCACTGAAAATCAAGGAGGGAGTATTGGAGAGCTGTTTTGTCCTAATATGAAACTCATTAGAAGTACGTGCTTGTCAAGTTTCGAGCTCAGGACGCTTTGGTTACAAGGGAAGCTCGTGGACCATTCAGCTACTGGGACCCGATTCGCTGGCCAGCCCATGAATTTTAACTTTCACCGGTTCGTGCTCTTTTTCTGGCGTGACCATCAACCAGTATCATCGTCGGGTATTTATCCTCACTCTCAGCTGGGATGACCCCATTAGTCACGACTTCGTACTAGAACTTCAGGCAACCTCGTCGCCTAGTCAGTCGCTAGCGAGTATCAGAATTATTTTTTAAGAATTTGTTTGTAAGATTTGATTTCTTTCAGTTTTCATCATAGATTGATATCGAATTGAATTTTTGATATTCCCGTCGATTGTTTGGACCGAAGTGCTCGGTCTCAGGTTGACATGTCGGCTTCATCTGCACTATGGTAATGGGTTCGAGCTTCGTGGGAACGTCATCACTCACTGAGAAATGCAGGTACATCCAGCTGACGAGTCCCAAATAGGACGAAATGCGCATCCTGGATCCAGCTGCCACCATCACCAACTGATGGATTGATATCGGTTAAAAATACCTGAAACCCAGTAGAGGAGTATTGGAAATCGGTTTCGTCCCGCTTTGGGTCTCATCAATAGTATGCACTCACCGAGTCCGAACCCCCCCCCCCCAGTGATTTCAACAGTTCTCTCTGGCAAATAAACTCTTAAAGAGAAATATTTAGCATTTTGTGTTAACACTACGAAGTGTTTGTGTTTTTGTGTAATATTTCAGTCGGTGCTATGGATGACATAACTTTCAACGCATTCTCACCATGTCTTTACGTAAATATACATATGTAAGTTTACATAGGACCAGAATTATTCTCAAATGAGAATTACAAATAGTGTATTGGTGATCAATTCAACAATGCAAGTGTATGTCTATCTATCTATCTACCTATCTATCTATCTATCTCTCTGTCTGTCTGTCTATCTATCTATCCTGTTACAAATGTAAGAAAGCATTGCTGTGATTGGTTAAATTCTTCATTGATATTGCACCTAAGCGTAATTACAATCACATCACACACAAAATGTCAGCTGATCTATGCAGAAAATAAATTATGCCTTTGTTTGATTTAGCATATATACATACATGTGTGAGTGAATATTGGTGAATTGTTGTATCATTGAGTCAAGTAATTAGCTAACTAACTAAGTATCTAGCATATATTCAACAAACACCATGATCCATACATCAGCCGATATGCAATTATCATTTATGAATCGTTCAACTCAAGTTGCTGAATCCCTACCAACTTGTCTAGTCGATGCTCAATCGTGTACTATTCATCAAACAACAGCAACAACAACACCAAATGATAGTGTAGTCGAAATAATCAGTCAACTTGAAACGTATAAAAATAAAACATCATTTATCGATTTGGATGACATTCAACTGACAGACAACACAGCATTAGATCATCTAATTAAAGAATCCTTCACTTGTTCTATATGCCGTGGCCTACTGGTTCGTGCACGTCTATTACCGTGTGGGCATCAATTTTGTCGTGAATGTTTATACTATTGGTTTAAAATACGGCATACATGTCCTTTGTGCAGAACACGTGTATGCACAAATGTGCCAGCAATTCATGTGGATAATTTTCTTGATGAAATTATTGATCATTGTAAGAATATCGAGGTGAAATGTCAAAGGCAACAAAGAAAATCGGAGACAACAAGTGAAGCATTAGATTTTCGATGTAGCCAAATATCTTCGGGAAGTCTGTTAAGGACTGTTACAGAAAGTTATGTTCAAACAGCTTCATATGTTGACAGTAAGTTGTTAATTTTACTTAGCATAACTGCGAATGCTTTAATGTCTTCTGAAGTTTATCGTTTATTTTTTTCATTGACAGTGGTGAACTTGCACAGCATTGATATTTGCTAAGCTTTCTTTGCACTAATTTGATTTACGCCTCAGTTATGAAGACTAATGTGTGGCCACTGTGCTAGTGGTGTTGCCTGTTCGATGGTACTGGCATAATCATTATTATTATTCCCTATAAATCCTAGAGAAACATAGGGCTTCAGCTGCACGTCTCCACTGCTTTCAGCTCTCTACTACAGTTTTCACCTGGCTCCAAGCCTCCCGCATGCTTTCATCTCCTCTTCACATGACCTCCTCCAAGTCACCCTCGCACTGACGACCAACTCGCCGCCACCCCTTCGGGTTCCACTCGAGAGATGGCCTGTCGTGTGATGTCACTTGATCGTTTGTTTCCTCAGAGTATGTCCAATCCATCTCCATTTCTTCCTGCCTATTTGTTTCACAATCGGTTCCTGGTTGGTTGGTTTTTTCCTAGAGATCTTTGTTCCTGATCTTTTCCGGCCACCTGATCTTGAGTATTGAGCGAAGAAAACTGTTAATGAAGGTCTGTAGTTTATTTGAGATGCTCTTTATGACGCGCAGTGCAAGTCTCTGATCGTATAGTAAGTAGCACTGACTGACCTCACATTGGAGTTGGAAATCCGGATCTTATTTTTCATGATAAGGAGTGCTGTTGACCTCCACACAGACTTGAGAGTAATGAAAGCTTGTCTTGCTTTCCCAATTCTCGCTGATATGATATCGTCGTCAGTTCCGCCTGTAGTTGAAACGATGCTTCCCAGGTAGGTAGGTAGGTGAAAGAGGTTGTTTCTTTCAGGTTCCTCCCATTTATCCTGGCTGATTGTTGTCTGTTGTTGTTGCTGCTGTCGGTGTTGGCCAGGAATCTTCATCACCTCTGTTTTCTCTATGTTCACCTGAAGGTAGTCGTATCTTTGATGCTTCATCTATCGCCAACTTGTTGCTTTTCACTTGGATATCTTCTAGTTTGTCGGAAATCAGACATATATCATCGTTGGCGAAGTCCAGATCCTCCAAGTGTTTTGTGTGATTCCATTTTATGCCTGTTACCTGATTGCACGTTGTCTGTCACATTATCCAATCTACTGCAATCAAGAAAATCATTGGCGATATTAGGCAGCCTTACATAGTTATAATCATAGTAACAATTTATTCTTATATTAGAGAGAAGTGACTCGAAAAGTTAATTTATTAGTAATTGTGATTAGATTCTTGTCATCACTTAGAATAATTGAAAGTATCTGTCAAATATCCAGATCGTAGAGATCCTGGATCTTTCGTTGGTTTCAGAAGACTAGGCCTAGTACACAGAACACTATCCACTGTAATCGAAGCAGAACAACAGAAAATGGTTGGGCAAACAGATTTACAATGGTTCATCAATGCCAAACTCTGTAAATAAGCGTTAATCTAATGTACAATAATACCTCTGATCGTATTTCTCCAATATTCTGCTAACCAGTACACAATTAAGGAATGACAGCCTTTTTGTCTCTCACCAGTTTGAATAAACAAAACTATTCAATCTTCACTGACATTGAGACAGTAGCCATCGGCAAATTATTGGACAGTTAATAAGTTCGTGTTATGTGTATTTCATTATTTGACAGTGAGATCGCATTTTGGATTGTATCAGATAATTATTTTAGCAGACATGTACATGAGATTGGAGCGTTGGATTCGATTCCTGGCTGACGTACTCTTTAACCCTGCTTTAGCTGGTAGGAAGTCCAGGAACAAAGAAAGTTAGGCAGTGAGGCTAGCAATATCACTCCATAAATAAACAACATCTCTACTCGGACTTCAAAGCTCCCACTTGAGGCCCCATGTTCCACTAGAAACGTGAATGGCGTGACTAACTAAACAATGACGACATCAGCCTGATCCTAATGAAACACCTATTTATGCAACCCTATAAAAAAGCTTGGACAGTGAAAATTGGGAGTAATTTTAAAGAAGTGTTCTCTCATAGCTCACTTTATTCGATCAAAATGAAAAGATACTCTCGGTATATGGTATACATTTTGTCCACAGAGATCACTTTTATGTATTAGTAACTGTGATGGTTATTTGTTCATAAGGATTACTGGTATCATTGATATTATGAAACTATGATTCTCCTAACTTACAAGGGTGTCTTTATATATTACTCGGTGATATAAACTTAATATACAAAGGGTTATAGTACTAATCAAATACCTAGATTGAATAAATAATAATATTATTTGCTTTATTCCAAAACAGTACTTGTGATACAGAATGGAATTCTCAGCATTTCACTACAGTATTGCATCCAGTTTCTACATTAACAATTAATAAAATTCTACATAGATTAAGGGTAGTCTCAGTTAATTTTGACAACAACATATTAGCAAATCGATAGCAAAGCCAAAAGTGAACAGAATGTTTGAAGGCTTAGAAAAGTAGATGATAGCATATTTACTGGCGTAAATATGAGGGTAAAGTAAAAATGAGGGTTGGATTTGAGTGCTTATCTCCCGAATAACAAGTACTGAAGTAGGTATTTATATTTGTAAGAACATCAGTTGGTCATGAGTCAGGCGCATTATAGTGGTCTGGCATGTCGTAACAGAGACTGGATACCTGAGATTGTCCTTATGTGGGCTTTGTCAGTGTTGTTGCTAAGTTGTTAAGTTTAGTGTTATCAATTGTTTATTGAAGGGCGTACTAATATTCGTAATAGTGGAGGGCAGATACAATGAAAGTGCGTCGGTGGCACAGTGGTTATGACGCTCGCTATCCATTCACATGGTCCTAGGTTCGATCTCCTGCCGACGCCTACCTGATATTTATAGTTGGCCTGCAAAATTTGGGCTACTGATATCACGTGCTGAAAATTCCATACCTATATCAAAAATACGGTGTGTAATCAAGCTGTAATAAAAAAAAAGATAAAAAGAAAGGTTATCGAGTAAGTAGGAGAATAACGAGACAGTACAGTTAAGAAAAAAGGAATTTAAACAAAGCAATAAGAAGACGTGATTTGTCTGAATTCGTGTGTAGTGTATTTACGCAACACATTTCGAACAGTCTAATTACACATGGACTTGTCATAGGAGTATATATACGTATGAAAATAATAAAGAGTTAGGAGTTGGGAAAATAGACTACTTAGATGAAGTTAAAACGACATATTGAAGGTCAAAATAGCAATGAAGACCACTAAACCAAATAGCAGAGGTAATAGTACATCTGCTATGGTATCAAAAGAAAATTTACCAAAGAGAAGATTTAGTGTGATGACAAATTGCTACTTTGACCGTATAAAACTGATTTAAACTTCCTAAGTGCCAGGTAGGGCTTGCATGAACTGTAGCATACGCTCCAAACACGTTTTATGGATAAATTGGTTTAAAATAGCTGTAAAAATCAATTTTATGCCCTGCCTCTATAATATGTTTGGTAATAGAGTAGCTAGGTCGTCTGCTCTCACCATTAATAGGTTCTGAGGATTCTATCTGCTTCTGAAGCCAGCCCTTACTTACAGAGATCAGTGAATAATTAATTGCCTTAAAAAAAGGGTTTATTAATGAATGTGAATTAAGGAATCAATAAGTTATTTTCAAGATCAATCATGAACTGACTTCAGTCAAAGAACCATTGAAAACCAGCAGGGAGCACTGGATAATTGTTTCAACAACAGCACACGGTAAAGACCCCCCTCCACCAACCAGGGACCGAATCCGAGACCTTCAAAGTTGCAAGGCGAGCACATCGACCATTCTCATCAGTCTTGAGATATGTAGCCCGACTGCCAACCAATATCATCGGTAAGTGTTTCCTCACCCCACACACCCAAATAAGTGGACCCAACTGGTTACGAATTCCCACTAAATGTTTAAGCGACTTCATCTCTTAGTCAGTCACTGGTAAGTACTAGATTGGATTCTGTCCGAGCAGCTAAACAGTCACCTAGCTCATCTTGTAACCTGGAGGTCCTCAATTCAATGCCTGGTGACGGTGTACTACTAACTTAAAAAACGGAGATTGGTCATCATTGATGGGTCTCGTGTAAGATAATAATTACATGAACTATCTGAAGGCGACGTGTGACATACATGATACGTTTTGCAGCATTTAACCATCTGATTGTGACCTGTTGTTATACGGTTCGTCAAACTACAATTCTATTAACAAACTTTTCAAGGTATTACGAAAGGCATTGTGATTCAGACAGACTATTACATTAACTAAACATTCTTATAAAATAAAACAAGGTACCTACTCTGCATAACATTTCAGGATTTATAACAATGAATTTAAGCCTTTAGAAAATTATGGAATTGAAAATTTAATACTTTAACAGCCCTGCCTACTATCATCTAGTTCAATACATATTTTTTTACTCACTCTGTTTTTACGAGTTGGTCACAGATTGTTACCAGTTAGAGAACCTTTGAAAGCCAGTGAGTACTGGAGAGTTGTTTCATCCTAGCTTGGTAGTCATCTACAGTACGCACCCAGTGGGGTTCGAACCCAGGACCTTCCGTTTACAGGGCAAGCTCGTATACCATTCAGCCACTGGAAACCGATTCAGTGGCTCGCACATGAATTCTAACTTCTACTAATTCGTGAGTTTTTATTGCGATCACCAACCAGTGTCATTGGTGAGATATCCATCCTCACACACTTGACTGGATGGACCTGACTGGTCACAACTTCTCACTAGAACTCCAGGAAACTTCATCCTGTAGCAAGTCACTAGCGTGCATCAGATTAATTTTCAATAGTTGGTTTGTAAGGATTAAATTTGTTTGACGAGTTGATCATGGAGAACCATTGAAAACCAGGGAGTACGAGCCTGCCTGTCTAATCGGAAGGTCCTGGGTACGAATCCAAGTGGGTGCCAATGATTCCTAAACTAGGACGAAACGGCTGTCCAGTACTCCAGCGCTGGTTTTCAATGGTTCTCTAACTGGTATCAATCCGTGGTCAAATTCATAAAAACAAATCTAATCCTTACAAACCAACTATTGAAAATTACTCTGTTTACTAACTGGTTTCTCTGTGTTCTCAAGGCTGGATTTATTTTCATAACAAACACATGATCAGTTTACATTTATGTACTATCAGTAGGTAAACAACAACACAGTCCAACCAGCTTAACTGATGACCATTAGGTCATTTCTCAGTGATGAGATTATTTCATTTGTACTTTTTGTCAACAATCTTTTACAACATTTAGATAAGTCTACTAGAATGATGAATATTATATGATGTCAAATATATATACCTTATTAATTCATTCATCAGAAGATTTAAAAACAAAAGAAGAAGAAAATTAACAATTTAAAATGCGCGGATCCACCAGAGTAAATCTATGGAAACAAAAGTGCCTGGTTGGATATTCAATATTCAATGTATTTGAAAATACAATACATAGCTCATAATAATATCTAGGCAGTCGTAACAGTATTTATAGAGTTTACATCTCAGAGACATTCTTATTATGTCATCAAGTATATACATATATGTATATATTTATATAGATATAATGTATGTCTGCGTAACACAAGGCAAGTAAAGAATGTTAAGGGTTTGCTATAGAATTTTTATGCACCCTCACACACACACACACGCGCACAGCAGGTAATCACTTATTAAACTGTCTACAGTATTAAAACAAACTGATTAATTACGCATTCATTGTCTTATGTTCAATTAACCTCACCTGTAGAGTATGTATGTATGCAGTTTACTTTTTTATAACTTATTAAAGTTAGCATATTTAACATTGAACATGTGTAATCAAATTCAAAAGTGATGAAATACATAAGAGGCGTATAAATGATATTTTGTCATTTTTTTTAAATTTTGAAACTGATGGCATATCATACTTTTAACAGTGCCCAGCTTGATTTTTATCGTATTACCCGTCATCTAATAGAACAGAAGCACTCTTTTCCAGACGTGTGCAATCTCACTAGGATACTTTAATGTGAAAATGTCTTTATTCTTATAAAAATTAATCGGATAAACTCACTAATTATAACCAACATCTCAGACTAATGATTAATGGTAACAATAATATTAGTAATAATAATTTTCAGGTGTTAGTTTGTAGAGATTTGATTTGCTTCAAGTTGCATCAGGGATTGGGATTCCTTGAAAATACGTGACCACCGCAGGGGTGTAACTCAGGTCCTTCCAGTGACATGTCTGGCTTATAGACCATTCAGCCAATGGGACTCGACTCAGTTGCCAGCCTATGAATTCTGTCTTCTACCAGGCCTGGGTTCCAACCTCAGTGAACGCATGCCGATGATGAGTCTCAAACTAGGACGAAGCAATTGGCTGTCCTGTATTCTGCTACTGGTTTTCAATGGTTGTCTAACTGGTATCAATCTGTGGTCAGAATTGAAATAATTAGAATAAGTCAATAATCGTCTCCAGTTGGAACCAGAGTACTCATTATGAATATTATTACATAATTGGAGCAGTATGCACCGAAACAGTCATCAACAGTGTGGTTCACATGTCTTGGCAATACCTAAGACTAGCAAGTCCACAATTTGTCATTATTATTGTTGTTCCCTTGGGTTTCTAGTGGAAAATTGGGCTCCAACTGCACGTGTCCACTCGTTTCTGTCTTCCTTCTACTGTACTTTTCACTTGCATCCATATTAGTCCATGCTGTTTCAACTCCTCTTCACACGACCTCCTCCATGTCACCCTTGCACCGACGTCCCACTCGCCGCTTCCCTCTCGGCCTGGTTCCACTCGAGCAATGGCTTGCAGCGCGCGCGACGTCACCCAGTGGCCTCCTCAGCCAGTGTCCAATCCATCTCCACTTTCTCATCCATATTTGTTGGTTGGCGATTGGTTCTTGTTTTGTTTGTTAGTGTCCATAGTTTCTTGTTGGTGATTCTTCCCGACCCGGCCATCTGATCTTCAGTATATAGCCAGCGAAGTCAGTTGTTGGTTGATAAAGGTCTGCAATAGCCTGTTGGAAATATTCTTCGTGACCCGCCCGCCAAGTTTCCGATCCGTATAGATAAACAAACAGCAGTGTAGAATAGTATAGTGGGGGTGCTGGGAGGTACAAAAATAATGCAATCAAGAGCCAAAGAGGTAATAACGAGACATTTACCAAGATAGCTGGAATCCTACGATGGGTTCGTTTTGAGTGCATAGGTCAGGTTCCAGTCATTTTTATTGCGATAGCCACTCCAAACTGAAGAAGACTTGGATTGTATCCTCTGTTAATTATTTTGAATGCTCCCAGTGCATCTAGCCAGTGTTCTGTGTCTATTAGGTGTTTGCTAATTGAAGAGTTGAAACTATTCAGTCGGTTTCGCAGAAAGCTCTATGACTTTCTGACAACAATCCTTACTGGAGAACTGGTTCATGACGATAAATAAAATGTATGTTGAGATTGTATTATAACTGGTTGTGCTCAGATGACGAGGACGCATCAGAATAAAGTGGATCCATATTATTTTTCTACCGATATTTCTTCTGTCTTTGTTCAAATTTATAACCGGAGATTCCTGTATGAAGAAAATCAGTAATTACCCATCAAACTTATTTCAAGTGATTATTCAGCATGAGGAAAACATATATCATATTCCGTGTGGACCAAATTTCATAGATTAGGTCTGAAACATTGCTGTATAAGTGGTAGGATTATAAGTTCCCAGACAGTAGATGTTAGAGAACCATGGGTGAACCTTCAGGGAGTACTGGACAGCCAACTCTTTTGTCCTAGTTTGAGCCTCTACATCAGTACTCACCCACTGATGCTCAACTTATGCTCACTAGCAACTGTCCCTATTCAGACAGTTAACCTGGGGTTCTAGTGGTAAGCCGTGACCAGCAGATTGAAGGTGAAGCGGTAACTCATCGAAGAAGACATTGCGAAGTGTTCATGCCATGACATGAATTGGCTGGTAGAAGTTGGAATTGATGGACTGGTCATTGGATCAGATTTCAGGGGCTGACGAATGACCTACGAGTTAGCTCACTGTGTAACCAGAGGGTCCTGAGCTTGAGCCCCGACGGTGGGTGCGTACTGATGAAGAGTCCCAAACTAGGACGGAACAGCTATCTAGTACTGCTTACTGGTTTTCAGTGGTTTTCTAATTGATATCAACTCATGGATAAAATCTTTCAACCAGTGAACAATGATCCAACAATCAGTGATAAACTGGCTGATATGGCAGTCAGACAGCGAAGACAGGACCCCAAGTGAACATAGAGGGAGAAGATGGAGGTGATGAAGATAACTAACGAACCGTAACAACAACAACAACAGCAACAACAGCCAGCACCAGTCACCATCAATGGTAGAGATTTAACAGAGGTTACCTCCTTCACTTATCCGGATAAGAAGCATCGTTTCAACCACAAGCGACATCATGGATGGAGATGTCAAAGTCAGAACCAGAAAGGCAAGCTACTCACTCCTTCATCAACATGAAACCAGAATTTTATCAACAGTTGCCTTCGCTCCATACTCAAGATCATATGGCTAGAAACAATTAGGAGCAAGCAACTGTGGGAACAAACTAACCAACAGTCAATAGTTCGACAAATATGTAGGAGAAAATGGAGTTGGATGGATTGGGCATACATTTAGGAAACCGTTGAAGGACATCGCAAGCCGTGCCATCGCTCGAGTGGAGCTGAAATAGGAAACGACAAATGTGTGGTAACTTTAAGGGTGACATGGAGGAGATTGTGTGTTAGCGAGGAGGAGATAAGGAATTATGGGCAATCATGGACCAAGCTGAAGGGGAGCGCAGAAAATAGAAGAAAGTGTAGGTGTGTTGTTGAAGCCCTATGTTCCACTCAGAACCTAAGAGAACAATAATAAATAATAATACTGTGGACATTTAATTTCATTTGAAAATCTGCACCAAATTTGTGTTACGTTATTTGTTCATCAACACGGAATCAGCTGATAATATGCCCTTATACACAGCTTGATTCTGGATCAGTTTATTTCAACAACTGTCCACGAGGCATTAAACAGCTTCTGTTATTAAAAAAATGAGAAATATAACTTGAAGACGAATACTTTGAAAATGGATGAATCAAAAATGGTGTATTTGTTGTCACTTTACACAGGAAATAAACTACTTTTAATTAATGCTATGAATTCAGCTTCTAAATGACTAGATCAGTGAGCTTTATTCATATAATTTGACTGAATACATTGCAGAAGACTGTGAGTTCAATTGGATATTAGTTAGTAACTAGTGTCATGAGTTTAGTCCTTTTTTTGTGAAGGCTGAATTGGATCAGTCGAGTTCATAATGTAACCAACATGCCATTTGATAGCTGTTCAACATCACGATCTACTTTGAACTATTGCTATTAGATGGTTGAAGGAAATCATCAGGAAGCCTTTTCCATAAGTTTCGTACCTGTCGGCACTCACTCGACTCGCCTAATTCCGCTATCGGAGAAGTTACCACTAGGCTATCAAGTCTCTCAGTAATGTCTCTAACTGGAGAGCTGAGTAAGATGGGTTAGAATCTCAGAAGGCACATGAGCACCTTCAAGACTGTAGATACTTCTTGCTGACTAGTAAGTGGTGACAAGCAAGAAATCTAGGTCGAAGGCTTCCCATAGCCGAATGCCTCCAATCATCTACTAACACAACTATAAGCCTGTTCTAGAAAGTTATTACTATTCTTATTGTGATTGTTTTGTCCACATATTCTATTTCTTCTTCTTCTTCTTCTGACTTTACAAGGTACACAATCCAATGTTTGGACAAGTACTACATAAATAAAATGGACTACTCCAACATTGAACATTGAACGAAATGTTTGTGGCGAAACAAGAGTATTCAAACAAACAAAACCAACCAACAAAGAACCAGCAATTAACAGTTAACAATATTTAAAATCACTTTTTATTTGTACAGATTATACAACATGACTGTGTATTGTTTTTTTTGTTTTAGTTTTGTGGCGGTGGTTAATGTTTTTTTTGTAATACATTCTGTTTTGTATTGTGTATTGACAATTGAACACTTTTGTTGTTTAAATATAAAAATTATACTTCACATTTAAATAAAGATAAACTATAACTATTCCTGATAAAAGATAAGGAAGGAGTTACAACTTTTTATTTTGAAACATTTTTAATAGAATGTGATACAATAAAAGCACTTATTTCTACAAATTTAGTAGGTGTTCTAATGTTGTTTTGAAATAAATGGAGAAAATCTATACCTTGGGTGGAAGATTTTGATATGGTTGTTTTCGCTGTCAATTAGCTTGTTTAAGTGCAAAGCTCCAATTGTCTACCTACACAGCATTTTCAGTGTAGGCCTTAATATGAAGAGAACTTATTTGAATTCTCCATGATTGATTTAATTGTACCTCCTGATAAATTTTATTATGATTTTGAATATAGCAAGAACAACAGTGATTTGTGCAGAATAATAAAATCATAACATCATTGCAACAAATAGGCAGGAAGAAATGGAGGTGGATTGGACATACTCTGAGGAAACCATCAAGTGACATCACTAGACAAGCCATTGCTCGAGTGGAACCCGACCGAATTCGAAGCGGCGAGTTGGTCATCAGTGCAAGGGTGACTTGGAGGAGGTCATGTGAGGAGGAGGTGAAAGCATGTGGGCAGACTTGAAGCGAGGTGAAAAAGTTGGCAGAAAACAGAAGGCGATGGAGACGCGCGGTTAAAGCCCTGTGTTCCTCTAAGAATTTAAGGAAATAATAATATGATTGCTTATTTTGTTGAATTTCCATCAGTTTAGCTGCTTACAGACCAAAGTCATTGTTAACTATATCTACATAAATAATTCTAACATACTTGCACAGAGTTTATTTTTAAACAAAACCAATCAGTCAATGAATGCATACAACAATAATAATAATGATGTATATAATAATAAACACCTCATCCTGAACAATAGTGATCATAAACAATGGAAACCTTGGACATTACGTAATCAGATGAAAGAGAGGGTGAAAATATCCAGTTACTACTTCTTTCCCAACGCATAAGTCGGCTTTTGGACGCTTGATGGAGATTGCTTCGGTAAACTTGAGTAGAAGTGAGCTCTTTTGCTTACTAATAATTTTGAAGGATCTTGTGAAGTCCATTTCATGACCAGTTTCAAGCAGATGTCCGGCAATGACATTGTGGAAAGCATTTGTTCCCTTAAGATATAGGCTTTTAGGTACATGCTCAGAAGATTGAAGGTATGCCCTACTTTCTGTACTGCTAATGTAAATGCTACCATAGATACATGTAAATTTGTATATATATATATATATATATATATATATATATATATATATACAGCTGGATTCGTTAACTTGCATTAGTATTGATCACTTTTATTGACTTGAGATTTGGACTTTCTTGTCGTGTGATTTGTTTTGATATGCTGATAAATATCTCTGTTAATCGCAGATTCGTTTGAATACTAGGCTGCTAGGAATTTTCTTATGGTTACTGAGGATGGTCTTTTGCCTCTAGTCTGACTGCAGTTTAGACATTTTTTTTGGCAAATTGTAAAGGTATCCATTTATCTTGAAGACGGTTCGTAGATAAATGTGTGAAACTAGGACACTATCGCAGTATGTAATTTCATATTAATTTATTTATTAGATATATCAAACACACAGTGGTGAAACAGACGTACTACTTATTGGATGACGAGGTTTCGAACACAATTAACTGTTGTTCATAATCATATCAATTATAATCACACAACTTCGAAACTTTCTATCGGTCGCGGGGACAGTAGAATCATTCCTATAACACGTATTCTTCTCAGTTGATTCGATAAACAAAGTGATATGTATCCACATGTGTGTGTTTTGTTTTGACAGTCTGTTATATTTTGCTATGTATATATGGATCGATATTCCATTATAATTAACAATCATGTTAAGACTGTCTATTGATTCGTTCATTTTTGAACATTCGCTCATACACTTGTGTTCACACACTTGTTCGGACATTCATACTATTTCAATCACACTCTTGTGTGACATTGATTTTTTCTTGTGTTTGAAAAATACAAGTATCATCGTGAACCTGGTGCTCTTCTGACTTCCGCCTTCTTGCGTCAGGACTATTAATTACTCGACCAGCACATAACACAAAGCTTCCATTATCAATCTCTCCCTCCACTCTGTTATTACATTAGATTTTAAAACTGTCATCCTATCCCATCCTATTGTATGGTTGTGTGCAGTTGCATGTAGCGAGTGGTATGGCTGAACTATTCTCCAGATTTCCTATCTAATTCGAGTCAACTATTCTAGATTTTGCTGCTAGGCTTTTGTGCCCCGCTAGTCTGACAGCTCATGTTCTGCTACTTTGCCCTATGTATTTGACTTGACAGTCATTCTGGCAGGGTATTAAATAAACTAAATTGTTTTGTCGAATTGGCTCCACAGGACTGATCCTTTAACCGACGAATCTTGTTTCTAATTGAGTTTGTAGGTGTGAAAGCCACTTTTATTCCTTCGTGGATTGTTAAGAATTCTCTTTTAAGTGGTTTCCGAGGTTCATTCTTTGTATAGAAGTACTACTTATGATTTATGTTCGCTAACGTTGGTGCTGTCATTATTGTGTGCATGTCGTCCTTAATACTATTATTATATAGAATGGGATAAGATGACAGTTTTATAATCTTAAATTACAGGGTGGAAGGAGAAATTGATAATGGAAGCTTTATTCATCGAATCAAATGAGGAGAATACATGCAATAGGAATGATTCAACACCTGTCCACCCAGACATATGGAAAATTCTACTACCCCTATGACAAATAGGAGAGGACAAAGAAAACTATGAAACGAAAGTTTCGAAATAGTGCGATTATAATTGATATGATCATGAACAATACTAGATTGTGTTCGAAACTTCGTCATCCAGTCAATAATACTATTTCATCACCAAGTGATATATCCAATAATAATAATCGTAGTAATAAGGGAAAAGTACATAGAATAACTAAATAAACAAAATAAATAAATGTCTATCCCTCTACGGCCAAGGCAAGAGTAGGGATTGTACATACTTTTTTTGTACACGAAGTCCTGACTTAAAGTCATGAAGTGCCAAGGCCTCAGCTGTCTTTAGAAGTCTGTAACGAAGAAAACGCAAGAGGTTAGCATGGATTCTATATATGATCTTGAAGTCATGGTCAGGGTTGACAGAGTAACAGAATAGAGCTTCGCACACACTTCCTTTCTCCCTTGTAAAACCATGCCGGAATATGTTCTCGTATCCGTGTGGAAAGCATCCTATGACTACGGCCAATGTACCTTGCTCCACAAGAGGAGCAGGTGAACTGATAGATGCACATGGAGGCGGCCAAACGAGGGGGGCTTATCTTTTAAAGAGGTAGAGAACAACTTTCGGCTAGTGAAGTCATATGTAATTTTGCTGCAAAGATAATAAACAAACTAATATGGAATTGTTTTGAATAATGTTTTACAGAGTTTCATTTATACGCTGTTGTAGTAGAGTATTTGCTTGGTCTTTGTGTGGATTGATTTTCTGCATACTTCTATTTATAGATTTGATGTATTTTTTCTCTTGACTAAGACTTCTAAGAAAAGAATTTTGTTATCTGATTCTCCTTCTCCTGTGAATTTGATGTCTTCAAACATGTTGCCGATGAATTTGTGACTGCTCCATAAACAATTTCTTCTAAACAATGGCAAATGTGTCGCATACATAGATTGATAATATGATGTTCAGTAATTTCAATTTTAATTATTATTATTATTATATCCTTTAATTCCTAGAGAAACATAGGGCTTCAGCTGCGCGTCTCCATCGCCTTCTGTTTTCTGCCAACTTTTTCCCTCTGCTCCAAGTCTGCCCACATGCTGTCATCTCCTCTTCACATGACCTCCTCCAAGTCACCCTCGCACTGAAGACTAACTCGCCACTTCGCATTCGGTCGGGTCCCACTTGAGCAGTGGCTTGTCTAGTGATGTTACTTGATGGTTTGTTTCCTCAGAGTATGACCAATTCATCCCCATTTTTTCCTGCCTATTTGTTTCACAATCGGTTCCTGGTTGGTTGGTTTTTTCCCAGAGATCTTTGTTCCTGATCTTTTCTGGTCGACCATCTGATCTTGAGTATTGAGCGAAGAAAACTGTTAATGAAGGTCTGTAGTTTGTTTGAGATGCTCTTTATGACGCGCAGTGCAAGTCTCTGATCCGTATAGTAAGTAGCACTGACTGACCTCACATTGGAGTTGGGAATCTGGATCTTATTTTTGATTCTGTGGAGGGCTGTTGACCTCCACACAGACTTGAGAGAAATGAAAGCCTGTCTTGCTTTCCCAATTCTCGCTGATTTGATATCGTCGTCAGTTCCGTCAGCCTATAGTTGAAACGACGCTTCCCAGGTAGGTAGGTAGGTAGTTAAAGGAGGTTGTTTCTTTCAGGTTCCTCCCATTTATCCTGGCTGATTGTTGTCTGTTGTTGTTGCTGCTGTCGGTGTTGGCCAGGAATCTTTATCACCACTGTTTTTGCCTTGTTCACCTGAAGTTCTATCTTTGATGCTTCTTCTATCGCCAACTTGTTGCTTTTCACTTGGATATCTTCCAGTTTGTGGGAAATCAGACATATATCATCAGCGAATTCCAGATCCTCCAATTTTTTTGTGTGAAATATATCCATATTATGAATTAAAAGTTATTCGGAACGAAGAATATTCTTTCAATAATTTCTCCTCTTCATGTTCTTAGATTTATAAAATATTTGTTGTCATTACGATAATGGC